ATGGGCCAAAACCTGTCCAGCTGCCTCTCTGATGGTCTGTGGGGAAGTATGTCCACCCTCTGCATGTGGGCATCACTCCTCCCAGCCCTCGCTGATGCTCTGCGCACCTACAACATCTCAGCCAGCTCGTCTTGCTTCTGGCCACCACTCTAATGCACACACAATTTTACCGCTCATTGATTTAAGTCAATGTGAGTGTATCCTAATCTTCTGAGGACATTGTTTGAAGTACCTCCCCTGAACCAGCTCCCAAAGCCAGACACAGCCTACAGTGCAAGTATATTATGGACCACACCAGCCAGCGGTCCTGTCCACACACCACCCATACAGACTCCCAAAAGACGGACAAAAAGCCCCAGGCAGTAGCTGAGCACACCCAAGCCCACATAAACTCATCTCTCTGTGTATTACCTCCACTAATGAGCTGTTAGATGTTCAACAGAGGCAAAGAAGCAGACCAACGTTTCCTCAGAGTCACTGCTCAGTCAATGTTAGCGTGCGTCTTGGGTATAGTAATAGTTTTCTCTTTGCCTCTCAGCGTCTTCAGCTTGTGGAGGTTAAGGCTGAGCGTCGGAGCAGTGCTAGCCAAAGCGAGGCCCGCGGGTGCAGCTGGAACCTCTACAGTGAGCCGAGGTTTTGTTTATCATGTCAGGGGAAAAAGAAAGTAATGAGGGGAATTACAAAACAATCATATTTACACTGCGAGAACTGAACGGGTAGGCTTTAGTAGACTCAAATGTCAAAAATGTCAACGGGAAGAGTCTTCGGAGATTTCACAAAGGAGGATCATAGAAAGACTATTAGATTAAGTTTCATAATTCTCTAAAATTGCCTTTCAAAGCAGGTTGTTCATGACAAAAACATCAAACTGTTAAATGATTGTATGAAGTCCTAAACTGATTATGCCCATCATAAATAGGGAAGGAAGGAAAATGGCAGCTGGCATCTGCTAAAACGAGATGTCTCAGAAAAAAACTCTTTTTCATTTCACACCGCTGCTCCTCAAGTGACCCAGCCCAGACAAGAAGTTCAGCTTAATTGGAGAGATTTCTCTGATGCAGGAAGGACAGAGCACACGGCATTTCTAACCTAATCTGTAATGACAAAAGGCAGCGGTCATTCCACCTGAGAGAAAGAGGTAAAGTCTTTATAACCCTGCCAACAACTTTTATGGATTCGGTGGCATACAGAGCAAATGGAAAGCATAAGATGTGCATTCGCAGGTGTTTTTAGACAGCCTCAAAAAGTGCCAGTGATTGTACTACATCCATTGGCCAGGAATATTCCTCAAAGCCTAATCAAAGCCTGAACTACTCCAGCATTTAATGATGCCAACACATTTAAAACACTGAGTAGTAATTAAAATATTTTTAAACATGTATCCAGTAGAGAAAGAGCCATCTGTTAATCGAGATTCTAGGTTTCTGCTCATTAATTACAGGTGGGAATTGGGTTGGAACATCAGGTGGAGATTGTCGTTACATTCAAATGGTACTTCTGTCATTGGGTTCTGGAGGGAAAAGGCTCACTTGTTCAGATAGTGCTGAGACATTGATTAAATAAAAGTAAGAGTCAAAATTATACAAACCAAAGAAACACTGACCTGTGTGAAAGATCAAGGATTACAAAGACTGAATAACATTTTACGTCTAGCTCTAGGTTAGTATGATAGAGTACTTAATTTTGAGTACCCACATTTCATAATTAAAAATAAATAAAAAAGGTCGTACTATGTTTAATCAGCCTCTTAAACTAGTCATGGCAACAATATTCAATCTATTGCACAGTTAGTTATGCACGGTTCACATTTAGTGGCATTTATATTTTTAATTCAACACTTAACCTTCATATTATCCCTTTAGGTGCCACTGTAGCTGACTAGCTGAAATCACATTTTTAGCCCTCTCCAATACTTCTCTATTGTTATTCGCCGGTTTATTTTTTGCCGAAAAGATAAAATTTTTGACCCTGAAGACATGTATGAATATTCGCAGATGGGGTCTGATACTACCGGTTCGGTAAAAAAAAAAAAATGAACGTTTCGAGATTTTCCGACGCACGCCGACTCTATACCCCCCCTGGAAATTTTAAATTTTCTAAGCCTCTGGGGAAAATGATTCAAATTTTGGAGTATCCATCCATCCATCCATTTTCTACCCTTTAATCCATTTCTGGGTCAGGGGGGTGGCAGTCAGAGATGCCACCCAAGTCTCATAGCACCAGCCCCTCACTGATCCTCTGCAGGTGGTGAGTCCACAGGAGGACGGTTGCTCTCTGAGTGTGAGCATAGCCTTGATCTTTCAGTGGGGGCTTTGGGCAAAGTGGGGTTAAGTGTCTTGCCCAAGGACACAACGACAGCAGTCATCAGTGGGAGTCGGTGGAGAAGGTGCAGAGGTGGGATTGAACCCACAACCTTCTGGCCTTAAGGCCAATGCTCTACCAACTGAGCTACTGTCGCCCTCTAAGCCATGATGGTCTGAAGTTTTGTCGCCTGTCGTTTCGTGTTTTGGCTGAGCCCTCAGGGCCACAGGTTCAGACCTATAAAGCTGAGACTCACATCACTGATATTTGGTTATGGCAGGAACGCAATAACATTAAAACGGACGGATTAAAGTTATGTAATCATTAAAAAAAGTTAAAATTTCACCACCGTTTTCATGCCAGGCAGCAGTGAATTTCACATGGTTTTAAGAATACCCAGCAATACCCAACCTGACCACCGGTAGTACACCCGATGCTGTATAAAGCACATTCTGAAATTGCTGAAGTTCTGTCCCTGCTGATAGTATAGTGATTACATTCTGCGCTGTGACTCACGCAGCTGGGGTACGATTCTGGGACAGACACGTTTGTGTTAGGGTTAGTTGGTTGGAGATTGTTTCATGCTCTATTTACATTATTACTGTTTCATAACTGTGATAAGCGTAATAGTGTGAAAATAAACACTCAATATGAACTCTAGATTGCCATGTAAGGGTGGCCTCGAACCTAAACCTGTTCCAATCTGCACCAAAGTCACAGGGTCAAATCTTTACATCCATACAAAGTATTACGAGGAAGCTTTTTTGTGCATAATCCTGGTCCGATCAGGCTGCAAATTCATCGGCAAGTACACCGCATGACGCATATGGGACTGACGCAGGGAGGCAGTCGCGAGAGTGGCAAGGGCTTTTTTATCGCCACTTGCGGCTTTAATTAAATTTTATACTGTTGATTTTAGCAAACTTCCATCTCATAAAAAAGTTTCTGGACTCCACTGTTACCATTTCACATGAAAATTATGACAAAATATGACTTTATTTCCCTTGAAATGATTACGTTTTGTAATTGACCTGCTCCAAACGGGCTGTATCAGACAGAGCAAAGCCATAGAACATATAACAGTCTGACGATACACGTTCTCTGACCCTGAAATGTGCACTTAACCTTTGCCATTTTTTGAAAAAGGTAGCAAGATCTCTTAACAAGTGCTTGTCTTTTTCAATAAATTTTGCATGAAAACATGGTGCTGGAGCAGCACGCAGCCTGCTGTCATACTAGAGGAGTGTTAAATGTTTAATGATGACAACACCACATGCGCTCACACAGACGTGTGTCAGGGTGCCGCTCTGAGGGGCCCCTCTTTCATCCTGACAGACACAAGAAAGCCCCTGAGCCTCATCTTCACCCCACCATGCCAACAACACCACAGCTCTCTCCAGCACCAGCCAACCAACACGGGAACCTGGATGTAAATGAGAGTGGAGTGGAGCAGCACATGTACATGTGTGGCAGTGAGGAGCGTGGTAAAGACCCTGTCACCATTAAGAGGAGAAGAAGTAGAATGGAGGAGACAGATGGGGTGCAAGATTGGAAGTTATGTTTTACATATTCCTGTAACAATCTGCAGCTTCTGTCTTTTGCCTCGAAATGAGCACATGATAGGCGCATAAACTTCTGTATCACAGTCACTGACTGAAAGACACATCACTGTCAAGAGGAGGCAATGAAATCTTCAGCTTTCAAAATCAGATTGCAGGGAATTATATCAAGTTCACATTCTTTAACATCCTGTAAAGTTTATGATGATCTTATTCCACCCACTCCTTTTCTCTCAGCCATTACAAAAACTTGCATTCTGTGTTAATACCGTCAGCTGCAAAATAAATGCAGCATAGTGACAAATAATGTTATTATTATTTTATATGTAAATAAAGTTAACAGGATTGAAAAACAAGCCGTTTCCAGTTTTCTTACCGATAGCATTCCCACAGCAGTGACAGGTCAACTCAAATCAGATAAAAAAAGGGAGATTAAAATCACAAAACCCTTTTGAAGGATATAACAAACTTTATGGGACAACTATAATGAAAATATATGAAAAATAATATAGCCTAATCTCAGATATGACTTTATTGGATTAAAAATACATATATTTCAAAGCACTTATCTTTATTATTCAGGTTCTGTACCATTAAATTAAGCTCAAAGTGTGGGAAACAGTTCTATTCTAAGTTAAAAAATAATATGATATATAGATTTTATTCTTGGGCCAGTTTCTGACTAAAACCACTGAGGAGTACGACTTTTACCTTTGGAAACTTCTGTTTATAAGAGACCTGTATGATCATATTTAAAGGTAGGTGATACTGCTCAACAGTCCACTGGGTAGAAACCCAAATCTCTGCCCATTCTTTCAACCCTTCCAATGACATATAACCATCAAGTCTTTTCTCACAAGCGGGAAACTATATCGCTTTACAAGCAAAGTCTGGCCTGATGCTTGATAGCTGGGGGAAATCGAAGGGGAAAGGGTTATGGATGGATTGATGGATGGAGGTATAGAGTGATAGATGGGAGGCAAAAAGAGCTAGGACTGGACTCTGCTTTCACTCAGTTAAAACAGTTGGACTTGTGCAGATGGTCCGCTGTGCACTGCAGGACCTGCTCAAATCTTGCATTGATGTGTCTGTTATTAGGAGTGTGTACACGTCGCAAGAGACAAGTCATCCATCACTCACCCCTTTTTGCCTTTTTTATCTTTGCCGCGGTCTTTGTCACGGTCCCTGTCCCGGTCTTTGCGTCGACTCCGGTCGCGGCTTCTCCGACGGCTGTGGCTGCGGCTTCCAGAGCGACGGTGGCGAGAATGGGACCTGAAGTTAAACAACAAAGAAACCAAGATGATGTGGAGTGTTCATTTGAAATATCATTTCTGATGATTAGGTTAAAAAGTACCAGTAAAAAACCCATACAGCTTGTTTAAATACTTGTTTAGATGAATCCATGAACCTTTAGACAACAGTTTGATTCATAGTTAAATTACTTAAGATTGTGAGGGAAATTTAAAAAAGTGAATTGCTGTCATGGTTAGTGGTAATAAATTTAAACAATAGACTAATCAAAATGAAGCAATAACATCTGAATTAAACTTTAATTAATTTTGAATCAAATAATCGTTCAGCTCTAAATGTTTTCAATTAAAAAAATCAGATTATTCTCACTTCAGTGGTGCTGAAACATGGCCATTATTAGTCTAGAGATTCTCATCAAAAGGACATTTTAAATTTGTAAATGGAATGAAAACGGAAAAAAATATTTAAAAATTGAGGTTGTACATCAATAAATCAATGTTAATATTTCCGCACATCAACTGCAAGTGGTGGTCAATTGCACACTTCTCCAAGTGTGCAATTGACAAATTGAAGTGTATTTCATTGGGAACAATTTTCAGAGTAGAGCAAATTCATTTTTCACTGGCTTGGCCCACAACACTACATACACACGTGAGATAGAGCCAATTAGAAGTGCGCTCAGAGGAAGACTTGTCCCCTGTATTGATCCTGACATAGGCCCTCTGGTCACAAAAGATTTACAGTGGAGGCTTTATTTAGTTATGGCAAACACACACAAAAGGAAATGTAATTCAATGCTTCAATAGGGGGCAGTCAACACACAGACATATGATCAGAATGTAATGTAAATATGTCATTGCACATCATTTTTAACACGGATACAATCTTTAAGCCCCATAACCGTACACTGATGTATCTACTGTGTGACAAAGACCCGGATTCAAACTCCCTGAAGACATTGGCAGATAAGTCTGCATTTATCTTCCATCATCTATCATTTTATTGATTTGTCTATAAAACAGTTAAACCTGCTGTCCGCCAGCTTTATTGCTTTCCCCCTTTTATTAGTTTGCAGTTTGGGACGTCCAGAGCTGTCTCCCTGCTGACAGAAAACTAATCATTTCCTTCAGGTGCCTGTCACCATGTTAACAGACAACACTCTGACAAGTGCTGTGAACAATTAGACCAGAGATATCTTCATCACTGCAGACTACACGATGAAATGGGGGTTCCGTTTGGGTCCCACCAAACATCCCTGCCACTAGACAAACAATACAATTACTGATTTATGTGGTAAATGCCTGGATGTCCAATAGTGCCTAATGTAATAAAGCAGTTTCTAGTTTAATTGGTAGTAATATTTGCCAGGAAAAAACGGCTCAGGCCTGTAATTTCACAATCTCTGTATAGAGGTGTAGTTGGGGACTACTAATACTACAATTCAAACAAGAATAATATACTCAGAAAGGTGAGAACAGCCATCAATCATCACACATATGATTAAGAGTAGCGTGTAGAAAAGACTGTTGACTAAAGCTCTGATTAAATGAGTCAGACCACCACAGCTGATGGATAAAAAAGAGAAGCAAAATCTTGGCATTTTGGTGGTTTGGAGTCTCCACACGAGATAATCCATCAATGGCTCAAACTGACCTTGGAATGAGCAAATCTATGAATCGACAATGCCTGCTTATGTTTGTAATCACCACAACATGACGGGGAAATACAACAGAGATGCACTGTTCCAAATTCCAAGTCTTTTACGTCTACGGCCAAGCAAATTGCGGCCAGAAGCAGCAGATGCAATAAGCTCAATCTCTCGCTAACTGTTTGCTCTGTCTGTGTCTGACTTTCTCTCCCACTGATGGCAAAGGAAAAACAGTGCACTTCTGGGGTGTGCAGCAAATTAAATTTACTGTAGTTAATAGAGTGAGTCGATGCTGCTAAATGTCAATTTCCTGACCAAGACCTTCCCCTTGGAGAATGATTAGCTAATTTGAGGCGGGGGATAGATGGCCTAATGCAGGACACACCAGATAAACAGCTACGCGTGGACCCCAAGCCAAGCCCTTTCCCCGCTTTACATTTTACTGGCCTTATTATCGCCCAGGAAAATAGGTCCCCCTATGGCCTTAACATATTTTCATTTCTAATAAAAGGCCCTTGCTGCTTGCTCCCAAACACACACGCATTTTTCAGCCCAACCTCCAACGTCTTCCACTATTTCTTTCTCGTTTCTGTGTGCGATCCATTAAATCCCTGCTTTGCAATTGGCCGGGTCCGTTTAGACGGTGAATTATCAATAGAGTAATTATACAGCCTGTTGGGAGCAGGGCTGGGGCTTATCGGCACTGACCCCCCCGTTGTGAGCTATGATATGATCCCTTCACCACAGCCCATTGGGGTAATTATACGGTCCAGTGTGAAGCTGAATGGTGTTAGAGCTTATCATTTGCCATTCTATTTCTGTTCTCATTGAAAATTGGACATTAATGGTGAGCTAATGTCAGATACAGGTGAGCGTCTTCAGTGAAGTCCACCCAAAGCTAATCCGTACCCACAAAGTGAAATCTGGCTCTGTGTGCACTGCAGCTTGGACACATCAACACACACAAGTAATCATTCCCTTGCTTTCAGAACTTTATCCATCCCGGTTCGCAGTAAACACTAAAGTCTACTGGGAAGACAAACTAAAATCCGTGTACACATTTTTGGTTGGAAAGACTGAATGAGTGCATGCATCCGCTGGTGCATTGCGCAAATTCAAGGTTTTGATACTTTTGGAGCAAGAATAAAAATAACCACTAGTTTTGTATTCTTGTGATAAGCACCAGACCTGGAAAACTGTGGGACCTTCTTGTACAAAATAAAATAAATTGATGAATAAAAGCAAGAATGTGGTTGAAGACATAATTTTTGCGTCCAATACAAAACTCTTAAACTAAAAAGGTAATTTCAAACCCTTTAATTGTTGACAATTGTAAACTCATCTCCAAGAAAGAAAACCGATAGATATTTAATGCATTACAAAGTAAGAACGTTTTTTTAATGAAATGGCCTCATTAACAGTAGGAAGCTTTTCATATGAAGAACTTCATTAATGCGCCGTTCCCTGCTGAGTTATTTCCAATGACAGAGCTCACTGCAGCAGCTTCATGTTCCAGTTAAAAGTCACTCCTTTTCTTTTTTTGCCTTTTCAATGAATCTAAAAGCACCTTGAGTGAGCAGTGTGCATTTCCTGCTGCCAAAAGACGTAGAAAACAGCTGTTCGTGCCTGACGCTGCCTTCTGAATGGAATGCAAATATGTTAACCATCCAGAATTTATTACTTTTGAGTGCTCTTCAATCGCGACGGCAGACACAAGTTTAATTTATGATATTCCTCTAATTATGAGAGCTGTTGAAATCATTTCCCAAGCTGCTTCCTCCTTCCAAGCATCCATTATGTGTTTCCTCGATTCACGCGGAACGCACTCACACACAGTAATGCACCATGCTAACACACAGAAACATAAACACGTAAGGAAAGGGTGCATGGTCGTGGAATATGAGCACAATTAACACAGCAATAACAGAACATGAAAGACTCACAGAAATGTTTTTCCTTGTCCCCCTCTGCTACATGAAAGCCATGTTTAGATTTGTCATAATCTTCAGTTTGCTTTTAATTTAGTCGTCGTCAACACAAATGTCTGCAATTCTTGCTTAGCGATGTTGTAGAAATGAGACCTCATGCAGGCCACCCACTGGATACACTCCCTAAAGCCATCCAAACACACACATGCTTACAGCCACAAGCCACAAGGTCAAGTCATTTAGCAGAGTTCAAAGGCCTTCAAAGTCCTCTTAGATCTAAATGAACCTACAACGACCAGCCAACGATGACAGAAAAGTCGACTTTCTACGGGTTCATGTTTTCAGTGTGTGTGTGTGTGTGTGCATCGTGGACTCAAAACGATGCATGTTACACAGCGTCTTTATTAGCACATATGCCCAGTGTCACTCAGCTTCCACGTCGCAATCCAAAACTGTCCCGTCTGCTTTGCAAAAGTGGCCTTTGACCCCTGTGCAGCCGCAACTTGACATGACACCCATTAGCAGCTGGAGCTGAGGGGGAATCTGGCAAAGTCGCTCCGGCCAGACACAAGGTCAAGTAGAGGTCTTTCTTAGACTAGGTGCTAACTCGCCAACTCTCTCACAGCTAATCTTACAATTGAAAGCGCTTTGCAATTCTTACCATACATCACAGACTGGGACAATTGGACCATGTTCAGAACGGCTTGTCTTCGGAGCTATAGCGATTCATCAATGAGTCACAACTAATCAAGTTTTTCAATAATCTCCCACTATTTTAGAAATGTATAAAAAACTAACAGGTCCATACACTGACTCCAACTCATGGGAGAGAGATTTGATTTGATGGGATTTCAAGGTAAAACAAAAGAATGTTTATAAAGCTGTTTGGAGGAAGAACAAAAAAATTGCATTCAACTTTAAATATCACGTTTGCATTAAAACAACATTTGATAAATAAAAACGATAAACACTGGATTAATAGATAATCAAAATTATCGTTAGTTACAGTCTCTGCCGTTGTGGGAAGGATTTGGAGTAAAAATAAAGACTGATCAGGAACAATAGGGAGTTGGATAGAGGGAGGGAGGGTTATTGGGCTTTAGCTAAGTGCAGAATGAGATAATAAAGCATGAAAAGTTATCTGAAGGGATAAGTTCAAGAAGAAAAAAGGTTATGAGAGTTTGGGAGGCAGGAACAATGAATGCAAGAAGATGGAGATGGGGAGAAAAAACAACTGGGACTTGTAGAGAAGACAGAGCTGCAGCCGCGCTTCACATCAAGCTGGCTCTAATTAGCAGGTGTGCTCGCAGGGACTGACTCGCACTCTGGTTAGGAGAGATGTATTTTTCTGCCTTTTATACACATGTATTTATGAAGTGGTAGAAGATCTGAGAGCCCTTAGCATAACAGTCTTTTATTGTTTAAATGTGGACTGTTCGGCCCCG